CCCTTCACGGTGTCTCTCTGTTTGCAGTGGTTTTCACAATCACTCGCATTACACATCGATCGCAGTGGTGCTTCATGGAAGTGGAAGAGGTACCTTTAGCCGGAGAATGAATGAATGCACTGATAATCTGCACATCACACCGTCTCGAATTCGAAATCAGATTAGGCATACAGCCTGGTTATGTAATGGTATCCTGATGAGTTAATTCTTCATAGGCTCCAGAAACGTTAAACTTATTTCAGGATCTACTGGAAAGATACTATGGTGATCACAGTTACTACAATACCAGAATTCTAACTGGTGTGGTATCAAAAACTGGGGAAGATGGATCTGAGTTTAACCGATTCGATTGAGGAATGAATTTTTTCGGATATTGTCGAATCGGCGAACAAAATCGGCTGACGAGTGATNTGCAAATGGAATTTCTCTCGAATTATAACGTGCTTATTGACATATTTCACCCAAACTAGAGCTCAACTGAGACAAAGTTATGCACAAACGGTTATTTTTTATAAGCACACAGAATTAACCAGGTGTTGGGAAAAAGGGGAATTCTATATGATATTTGTACATTGGCCAGGTTTTAGTTTTCACCAGTTGGTCAACTCTTCACCTATTGGTTCTAGCTTAAGTTGAATGCAGTGAAATTTTTAAAACAGTTTAGTGTTCTTTCTTGAAATAAACCGTTTCATTGATTCAGTTTACACTTTAAGTTGCATTTTGTAAATGATGGAACAGAACCAATTACTACGGATTTTCACGAATCGTTTCAACTAGTGATGTCTTTTGGGAGGTTGCTAATTTGTTGTAGTTTCGTGATGCACTCTTCCTTAGATAACATGGTTTGATTTAGTCTTATTCATAAAACCAAATTGGAAATCACTATTAGTCCAGTATGCATTTTACCAAGTCGGCGAACATCAAGTGGTCTTGTCCAATTTGTATTTTTGTCCCGAGGCACTTGCGCTCTTGAAAGCAAGATTCAAGTACCGACTTTCTCAGAGTCTCATCAGCTATAGGTGAACCAGATACACTATTCGAAAATTGTCTAAATATCCTTCAGTTCAGAAAATTGGCAGAAAAGGATGATAACTATCATGATATAAAAACCATGCAAATTAAATTTGGTTAGGGTTCTATTTATTCTTCAGCTCTATGTGATTACGTAAGCTGCGTCAATTCGAATGACAGCATTAGAAATACAACTGTGTCTGAAGGATAAGCTCTTTTCTCTCCGTCATATCTATGAAATATGATAGTTGAAGACTCATTTGATTATTAGCAAAAGACTGATTTATAAGACAGTAAAATTTTTTTGAGAATTGAGGTATCAAATTATTTAATCTTTGATTGGTTTCTGCAGTAAGTGCTAAAACTTTCTGTGTTTAGGACGCACTATTAGCTTGTTCTAGTGTACTTTTATTATGACCTTAGTTCTTCACATTTCACTAATACATGTTTCAAGTCCACGTATAGAATTAAGACGATAAATGGAGCGTTTTGTGAATTTTATGCAGTGGTAAAATTTCAAGTATGCAACTACTGTGGCTAAGTATGTGAGAGGCAGTTGATGATATATCTGCTACAATTTGGGATACCTTGTAATAGGTAAAACAAGTAATCCACAAGACGTGGTACTCAAACAAAAACATCCGTTAGTTTACTGGCTGTTTTCGTAATCGTCATGCGCAGTACAAGCGCGTATGCCCCGTTCACAGTGCCACAACTCATGGGAGAGCGAAATTGCACATGGAGACAAATTGCGATGCTGTATGAGGAACCGCATGGAGATGCACAGTAGATCGAATGGGGGGCTGTCTGTGTGTTCACAATGCCGACCCAATTGAAGTGGCTAGGTGCACGATCCACATTGGAAACCTTCTACTTCACTAGTGCGTTAGGATTTCGTCATATTACTGTCATTAAGCAGACACATGCGACAAGTGACCAGTGAGAGCATATTGTAATGCAATCGCATGCAATCAAATTTATTTATACCTGACATATGAACATGCATAACGGTTTATGTCTAAATATGAAGTTACGATAACAAGCTTCTTCGCTTCACTGCTTGTCATTTAACATTCCTAAGAAAAACATTCATGAGGAAATAGTTTGTCATGAGCAAAGTGATTATGTATAACAAACGTGCTGAAATCTGTAGGAATATATTAGAGTCCTTATGCACGTATGAAAGATGAGCGGGGTAAATACAATCCATATTTAAGTAGTCGGGGTGGCTTTAAAATTCAAAGAGTCCCGTTTATCCGATATTCTATCCAACCTCGTCTAATTTTGGCGTGCCTCATGCACGAGGACTGCAGTAGACTAAGAGTAACCACAAAGGGGGTAACTGAAATCGGTTGATCTCAAACGCGACAGCATTTGTCAATTTTCAGGGGTTGTTTCGACACTGACAGTTTTCGCAATCAGCGGAAATGGATGCAGTGTGACATCAAAGTACATTGGATGGCTGTCTGCGTATTATACAAAGTTTAAGTTTTGAACAACGTTGAAAATCAATCGGAGGTTCTCCGTAAACAATAAATCTCTAAAACTGAAGTGTATAAGGTGAACTGTGAAGGAAACTTAATTCGGTCTGTCTTTCTGGACCGCGGTGTAGTTTTGCGAGAAAATACAAAATAGGGTCAACCCTGTACGTTTCTGAAGATTTGTTCGTATTCATGGGTTGTTTGTAGTAGCAATTGAGGTAATTTAATTGCAATATCAAAAAGACATTTATTAATTTGTCTTTTTGTTTCTTTGAAGTCTCAGTCGAAAAAGTGGGAGCATGTCGAGCATAAATTGTCCTTGTTTGTTCACTATACTCTACCCGGTGTGGGATCGTTTTTCACTGGAATGCAGTGGGTAAATGAACGGATGTTTGCATTTGGACTAAAAGGTTTGGTAATAATCTATCCAGTTCATGTCATTCGATCGAACTACAGTGTACTGTTATCCCTCCTTTGGCGCTGTACTCACTGAACTCTAAATAAGCTTCTAAATAAGCATCCATCGTATGATTTACATTGTCAGAATTTTTTTAGTCATGCTGTTCTTGAGATACTTGGGTCAGTTATTCTATGTCTGACAATCGTCAAAAACAACTTATTTGTTCTGTTTAAAATGTCGTGTAAAAATATTTAAACAATGAGCGGTGGATATTCATCAACGATAACTATGATAGCGTTATTGCTCAACAGACGGTGGAGTACATTGTGCTAATCAGATGTGTTCTACTCTAACGCTCCCGTTTTCTAGTGATTTTGTACTTGGAAGTATTTCCCCCATTTTATTTCTCATTAGTATATGTTCTTTCTGTCCCAGTTGACATGAGTTTTAATGGAAACACCCCATTAGGTTATGAAACCGTCTGCGATTTTATCGACGGAGTGAGTAAACTGCCGATTCCGTTGATCAGTTGCATCCCACGTGATGTTTCCTCTATCTCTCTCTTGCTCTCTCGTCTCACACATACGGGGAATGGATACAGAAATCTGGAAATATGAGTGTGATCACATCGCTCCACGAAATCCATTGTGCCTACACGGTAGCCCTATAAATATCTCAGCAGCTAATCTACCTGACATACGGCTAACGGGGATCATGTATGGAGTGAACTGTCCCCACAGGTGAGAATGATCATGCACGTTGTGAAATGGATGATGATGATGAGGTGAAGGTTAAAAGGATGTTTGACCTGAAGGGGACAAAACTTGGTTTGTTGATTCAATACTAGCTAGCCAGCCAGCTACGTGCCTTTGACCATGTCTCCCACCATGATCCAGGTGGTTTTAGGTCATCATCACGAAATAATATCCTGTTTGTACAAATTGCGTCGCTTAGGAACAGAGCACGCAATCTTTTAAACAAACCTTTTCCTAGCTTTCTCGTCCGCCTATTGTATTGAGTTTTGTTTGAAAAGTACAAACAAATAAATATAAATAATTTTAGTATTAGTGAGTCTCTAATTAATGTCAAGAACGGAATAGAGCCACCCGTTTCTTTGCCAGAGTAGTTGAGTAGATTGAACTTTAAAATAACCACAAC